AAACCGACACGTTAAAGGTGAAAGAAACCTGTGATTCTGCTCAGAAACAGGAAGTCTGTATTTTACTGTTGGTTTTATCTTCTTCATGAAGCATCAGTTTGACTTTCCTTCACCTAAATGTGCAGACTAGTGTCCCACTGGTCTGACTGGTCTGAGTGTGCAGTCTGTAAGGGGGGCAGGTCCCACTGCGGTAATACTGCAGTGCACCAAACTACACGCCTCTACATGAACTTCAGTGTGGGACCTTGTCTTTGCTCTGTAACGTTTGATAGCAGCACATCTGTGCCCCATACGAAGACCGAACAGGAACATCTGTCTGTTGACCCCGCGGTGAACAGGATGTACAGGTGCACAGTTAGAGGGCGCCCGGGGAGGGGTCATATCCTGGAGCAGAAGATTGTAAAGTCACCTGAAGTCCTGCAGGTTTGGTTTATGAGGCTCAGAGGTGCTCTCACTGCTCTGGAGGTGTGAACTGGTGTCGCTCTGTGCAGAGAGCGTAAAAGCTGCACAGCCTCAGTGTGTCAGACTACAGGTGAAGCTGCACCTGTGCCTGTTTCTCACCTGCTTTTAAAGCTCCCACCTGAGACAGCTGTGTGAGGCGGCCATGCTGCATCATCATCAGTGTTTCATGGGATGACTTTTTGACTGTCAGTGAGGCGTTTCCGCCGTCGCAGCCTCATGTTGAGCTTCGTGCTTCGCAAGTCCAACAGGTGTCGACGCTCGACCCCCTGCTGTTCTTCACAGCCAATACTGTCAAACAGGAAGTGAGTTTACGTCCACACATCCGAGAGTCCACTAGGACGCTTCATTAGTGACTCACACAGCCAGCAGCGCTTTCAGGGGGTGGGCAGCACCTCGCTCTCTCCTCGTGGAAAATTCAGAGTAAGAGTGACACATTTGGACAGAGACACAGAAAAATGAATGAATGGTGACAGGAAGAGATTCATCAGAGTAATTAGGAGCGCTGCGATATTTCCACACAGATCTGCTTCATCCTTTCAGCCTGATCCTCTTCTCTTTGATTCGTCCATGCTGCAGGCGCATCCTGCATCCTCCACTCAACACAGTCTCATCTGCGTATAGCGACACGTCTCGTTCTCTCTGTTCTCAGTAACAAAAGAGTAATCGGGTGTTGACGGGTGCAGAGAAAGGTTCTCGCTGCTTTAACGATCACACTCGATGCTCCAGCAGCAGGATTAAAGTCGCTCATGTTTATTGAACAGTTTCTACTCATAAACACATCAATGCTTCCTGACAGGAGCCAGTCAGCACGTGTTGTTGATTTAAACGTAAACAACAACCAGGCCGCTGCATGTCAGTCTGCCCCCTGTTGGCCAAATGCTGAACTCTGTCTTCTCACCCCTGCTCCTCCAGCTCCTCCACCATGAGCGTCTTCTCCAGCTCGATGGCTGGTCTGGGGTCGGAGGTGTGTGGCGACACCGCCTCCCTGGTCTCTTTGGAGTCAAGCGTTTTCCTCAGCGAGCGGACGGCGTCCTGCGTCAGCGACACACTCATCATCATCAACGTTGGCGGGAGTCGCTACGTGCTGTCGCAGGATCTGCTGGCGTCCTACCCGGAGACCCGGCTGGGGAAACTGGCCTGCTGCAGCCGAGACTCGGCGCTGGAGCTCTGCGACGA